TGAAAAAGCGAGTAAAAAAGTTTCCCATATGCTGCAAACTTGAGTGGACTCACTGTATATGGTTAAAAGTCTTAGTATACATCTTTTATTACGCATGCATCATAATCAACGATTATCGTACGCTGCAGCGTGCATAAAAAGATGTTTTTCTACTACCGTGCGTAAAGTACTCACTTTACGCACTATTTAGAAGACGTATAATTTCACTTCACACACTAGTGCGTAAAGTAATTCACTTCACACACTAGTGCGTAAAGTAATGTCAATGACAGATGTCGAAACTGTCAATTTGGCATTTTTCTGGTAAATTACTTCACGCACCGGTGCGTAAAGTAAAAATTCTTTACGCATTAGTGCTCATGTGATTGTCGCACTCGCCTTCGGCTCGTGCGTCAAAATTCACATTCGTGAAAAAAGGTGCTTTACGCACGTATTGCATACAAAAATTTTTCTACTACCACTCAAATATGTGTAAAAAGTTAAATTTAGACAAATACTTCACTTTACACACTTGTTGCATAAATAACTATTTTCTACTACCGTGCGTAAAGTACTCACTTTACGCACTATTCAGAAAACGTAAAATTTCTCTTCACACACTAGTGCGTAAAGTAATTCACTTCACACACTAGTGCATAAAGTAATGTCAATGACAGATGTCAACACTGTCAGATTACTATTTTTCTGGTAAATTACTTCACGCACTAGTGCGTAAAGTGAGAATACTTAACGCACTAGTGCGTGAAGAATTTGTCTAAATTTATTTTTTTACACATATTTGATTGGTAGTAGAAAAATTTTTGTATGCAATACGTGCGTAAAGCAGCATTTTTCACTCATGTGATTGTCGCACTCGCCTTCGGCTCGTGTGTCCAAATTCACATTCGTGAAAAAAAGGTTCATTTCACACACTTGTTGCATAAATAACTATTATGATGCACCTATCTTTTCAAAGAAATTTACCTGCCGTTTAAATTACTATTTATCAAAATTGATGAAAAATCGAGAGAGTCTTTCAACATTTTTTTAAATTTATTTAATGATTTCTATGTTTTTATTGATTTATATAATTTATTATAATCATAAATAGTCCATGGATAGGCCCCTTGCATCAGTTTTTTTTTTAAATGCTGATTTCGTTAGTCAATAAAAAATAAGTCAACACGGGTTTTTTCTTTTTCTTGTTAGTCAAAAATTGACGGAGATACAACGCTTTGAAATGTACTTATTTTTCATATTCATTCTGCTATGCTCCAGAACGACCTGGATTTGGTGATGGACTGGTTTGGAAAAAATAAAATGTCTGTTAATATTGAAACATGCTGTGTAGTATCGTTTTCTAGAAAGGTAAATGTATTTATCGAGGACTACTACATTGAAAATTGTGTACTGAAGAGGTGTCATAAAGTCAAAGACTTGGGAGTGATGTTCCAGCAAAACTTCAAAATTAACACTCATTACAGTTACATTATAAATAAGGCTTATAAAATTCTTGGAATTGTCATGCGAAATAGCAAAGATCTCAATATCCAAACAGCTACAAGACTTTATACTTCCCTAGTCAGGCCACACTTGAAATATGAATATCTGGTCACCAAGTACTCATGTCAACAGTAATGAAATTGAAAAGGTCCAAAAACGATTCCTATGATATTTATTTATATGTTAAAAAGAACGGCATATATCCATTTATGGTCTCATACACATCGATGCTGGAAAGCTTTCATCTGATGTGTATGTTGTGTGACACAAGGAAGACTCATGCTGTGATATTTATTTATAATATCATGAATAATTTAAGATACTTAGATTGTGATCTCATAAATTATATTAAGTTCAAAGTGCCAAAGATAAATTTAAGAAGACTATTGTCCACTGATCTCTTTTATGTCAATAATATGAGCCCATCGCCCCTTGTAAATATGGTTGGCATGTGTAATGAGATGCTATCTCGGATGCTATCAAAATAATGTGTTGACTGATATGTTATTTCAAAGATAAAAGTCAAAATGACATTATGTTGGCAATACAATGTAAAATTTTCAATGTTTCAAATTTTTTATGTAGAAAAGGCTTGTGTTGCCAACATAGTTACTAAATTTTCGACTTGGGGAATTATCTTTAAAAAAAATAGCTATTTATACAATAAGTTACGAAATGAGCGTCTTTTAGGCACGCGACGTGAAAATTGTCCAACGAGGCAAAGCCGAGTTGGACAACACGTCGAGTGACTAAAAGACATCGTTTCGTAACGTATTGTATACAAGATTTTTTCTACTGGCATTTTATAATAAAAAAACACAATTTTATTTCATGTGAATAAGTCGATTACACCCAAAATCTTTGTTACCTGCTTTTACTTGACACCTGACACTTTTCATGCGATTTTCTTTTCAAAATTCGACATCAATAATTAAAATCCTAGAAAGTAGGTAATAACACAAAGTTCTGTTTTGAGTAACCCAAACGTTCAATTCAGTAATTCCATTTTCAATATTCATAATAAATACAAAACAAAATTCAAATATGTGTTTAGTGTGTTTTTTATTTCTGAATAATGAATGACACTTTTAGGCACTAGTGCTTAAAAATTACTTTTACGCACTCATAAGTCACTTTTACGCATTCAAAAGTCACTTTTACGCACTGAGTGCCTAAAAGTAACTTTCACGCACTCAGTGCCTAAAAGAATGTCGTTTCAAAACTGAAATGACAATCGAAAAGTTGCTATTATGAAACGTCAGTAGAAAAAAACAGTTTTTACCTACTTTTTTTTATGTAACTAGCCATTACCTGTAATTACCGCTAAGGTGTTTGTAAAGTGTACCAATAAATAAAATAAAAAAATGCGTGTCGATTTTTTTTCGATTTCCTACAGATTGCAATAAACAATAATCAATTTAATTTTTCATGCCATAGAAATATTACAATATTTAAACAAATAATAATACCTAATTCCTGGAAGGAAAAACGAGCAAAGAAAATCAAACAGAAATAAAACAGAAATAAATTCTCCTAATCTGGTGCTGAACTAAATAGTATAAAGTAAAAACCTATTTTTAAAGGGCAAAAAGAAAACAAATAAATAAAATGAGCTGAATAAGTATAGCATAAGAGATAACTCTGTCAAGAAAATTAATTACTTTAAGCGCACAGGGTTGGCAAAAGCCCGGGTTTTTGAAAATTTCTATTGGTTTTTTGGGTTTTTGGGGGAGTTGTGCTTTTGTAGGGTTTTTGTGTTTTAAGATCTTTGACTCTTTGACATTCCAAATAATGTCAATAATAAGGTTTCTCCAGTTTTTCCTACGAGCACAATGTTTTAGTTCAAAATATAGGTACTAAATATTTTTCACTTCAAATCAAATTACTATCTATACCTAGGTACTATTTTCCATTGAGAAAACCTAGATCTTACACAGATTTTTTGATCAATTTTCGATAAATGAGATAGACAAAGATACTTGTGGAAAAACATTACACCTAACTTCTGCGGAAAATGTCTTTTCCACCCTTGACAGCTTGCCAACTGGCGTCGCGTGGGAAAAAGCACTACTTTCCGCACTTGTTAGGTAAATAACTACTTGTTTATGCCAACCCTGAAAGCGCGTTACAGATTCACAACAAGATGGCGAATAATGCATGAAAAGGATTGTCGCCTAAGTGTGATTTCATTCAGAAAGCATTTCTGAAAGTTACCGGTAAAGAAATTTGTCGGGTTAAATTACCAAAATTACCGTTACCGCGGTAACGTTACCACACTTTAATCTCTTGAAGTGGTAATGACAAATCCGAGTTTTCGACCTCGGAAGTCTTCCGGATCATTGATAAATATTACTATGGCCGCTAAATTTTCACCTTTTTTTCACTTTTTCTATATTTTGACCACACCAAGGACTAATGTTACGACGGTAAAAGTCGTTTTGTACAATGGGCTCTTTCACTAAAATTTAAATACGTAATTTAAGTATAAAATCCCAAAGGAGGGACTATTTTAGGCATATATACCAAAAAAAAAAAATGTTCTACAAGGTTAAATAAGTTTTTTACAGGCATTTGAAGTTTGCCAAATTCAAATTAATCTAAAACGCGCCGATTTGCTGTCGTCACATAAATATTTTTCATTTTGCTTGTTGTTACAAGGAGCTGACCGCCTCGGCTGTGTACCCTGTAGTAAAAGCAGGTAAAGGTTCGAATGCGCTGTTGTCGGTGTTGACTAAATGTAGTGCAACGTAAAAAAAAAAAAAACTAAACATAAAAAATTGTATTAAATTGTGTTTAAGCATAATTTCAATAAAAAAGTTATAAAATCTTGAATCCATAAGTAATTAATTTAACTACTTTTCATGATATTTTGCGAACATTTCAGAATTAAATCTATTACAAATTTTCAATGTCGACAATTAGTGGCAACACGGTCAAATTGCGAGCTGCGACGTCATAGAAATAAATTCTGGGTTTTTATTTGGAGGTATTTCTTTTTTTTCTGTTTTCTCAAGAAGGACTATGAATTTTTCAAAAGTAAAAATACAGAAAATTCTGTTTTTAGTTGCTTTATCCAAATAGGCCAATTTCAAAAATTTGTAAAAGAGCCCATTTCAAACTAAACAAAATTTAGAAAAAAACAAGACTAATTTGGTTTTTGTAGGTGAAATAGTTTCTAAGATACAGCAACCAAACCAAAGTTTTCCATAATTTCAAGAAAAACAAAAAACAGTTTTTCTCTCAGTGTTAGTCAATATTGAGTACCATGAACCCAAAGCAACGAGCGAACACAACGCATGCGGATTTATCGAGGGATTTTCTTTGGTGATTTTGTTGTTTCGTGAACAATCCGTCGTCCTTTTAAATTTCAATTTGATGTCATTGTCAACCAAACATTCAAAAAAAAATTTTAAACCTTCCAAAATTAGCATGTACAAATAAAACCCAAAAAAAAACCCCTTTATCTACAAATATAGCAACCAAAATTCCAGTGTAAAATAATCGATAAGTACTTAAAGATGGATAAGGAAATCATGACTATAGAAAAGATGAGGAGCTATGAGGGTTCAACAGATTCAGAAGAAAGTGCCAATAGCTCTACCAATGAGTTAGATAGTTCTCAACTTCTGCCCCAAGAAACCACCATACCATCGAACCAATGGCTGATAGGTGGTGCCTTAGGATCGAGAACCGCAACTTTGGTGTTTAAAAGCTCGGCCTTAGCTAATACGACCATAAAGGAAATTCAAGATAAGCCTGGACACAAACTCCATGTAACTTACAAGGTACTTCAAGCCGAAACAAAACTTCTAACAAAACTCCTGGATTGTCACGGTATCACTGAAGTTGCACCAAACTCGTCAGATTTTAATTTATTATGGACTTGCTATCATCCTAAACCAGGTACTCTGAGGTCTCTAGCTCCCCACCAACGCGTCAACCATTTTCCCCGTTCCTACGAGTTGACAAGAAAAGATCGTCTTTACAAAAACATCGAGCGAATGCAACACCTAAAGGGCCTTAAACATTTCGATTTTATACCACAAACTTTTGTCATTCCCACAGAGCATAAGAAATTGTGCTCTACGCATTATAGAGTCAAAGGTCCTTGGATTGTCAAGCCTGTGGCTTCAAGTAGAGGAAGAGGCATTTTTATTGTTGAGACTCCCAATCAAGTACCTATGGACGAAACAGTGGTCGTGGCCAAATATATTTCTAATCCGTTTTTGATATTGGGACACAAATGTGATTTGAGGCTCTACGTCGTAGTTACTAGTTTTGATCCATTAAATATTTATATTTATGAAGAAGGTTTAGTAAGATTTGCAACTGTTAAATACGATTCTAGTCATAAACAGCTGTGGAACCCCTGCATGCACCTGTGTAACTATAGTATTAACAAATATCATAGTGATTATATTAAGTCTGATGATCCCAGTGCCGAAAACGTCGGTCACAAGTGGACGTTGAGCGCCCTCTTGAGACACCTAAAATCCAAAGGTAAAGACACTGCCCGCCTTATGTCACAAATCGAAGACATTGTTATTAAAGCCGTTTTAGCTTGTGGCAATACAATCCTTACTGCTTCTAGGATGTTTGTGCCTCACGCGAATAACTGTTTTGAGCTCTTTGGTTTTGATATTCTACTAGATGCTAACCTCAAACCATGGTTATTGGAAGTCAATTCATCGCCCTCATTAAACTGTGATAGTGTCTTAGATGTTCGCCTAAAATCGGCCATGTTGTCAGATCTATTGACACTAGTGGGAATCCCTGCCGTCGATCCCATTCTACGGCCTACTGGCACAAGGAATTTAAAAAGATCCAGCTTAAATTTGAAAATGAAACTTTGTAATTGTCGCAGTAGCACTTTACCAAAAAAAAAGCCTTCCGTAACAACTCAAAGAAATTCAACAGCCTCTTTGCAACCAACTGTCGAAGAAACCCGAGTAATTAGAAACGCGCAGGCGCAATTCAAAAGACGGGGTGGTTTTGTCAGGATCTTTCCTGCTGCAGATAGTTGGGCCAAGTATGCTCAATATTTAGAACCCCTCAACAGGCATTCCTATTTCTGGCATAGTGTCGTCAAACTACAATGTCGCCACTTTGCACAATTATAAATTGTTGTTGAAGATACATCTGTTTTCCGAAGCTCAGGTGCATAGCAATAAATTGAATGACAAGCCTCAATCTAGGGGCAAATATAGTATTTCGCTGGATCGGAAGTAGTGGACGTCAAGACAGATACGAGAGGGCACTGAGTAGGGATCACAAACAAGTCCAAGTTATTTAATGTCTTACTTTATTATAGGTACTTTTTTTTTGTAATAGACCCTTTTTTTGGTTAATATTATTTATTGATGTTTATATTTTGTTATATGAGTTTTGAACGAAAAATCGTGAAGATGAAAATTTATACATACAGTTCAAAAATTCTATGAGCCTCGGTATGAACTGTCTCATCACGACTTTAAACTTTTACCAACCATAAGTTGAATCCTCCTCTACAAAAAACTAATAGCAAAATTGCATTAAACCACTTTTTTTGAGGATTTCAATTGTTTTCAAACGATCTCGAGCTATTAAGCAAATTTTCAACCTTACCAAATCAATAGTTACCCGCAGAATGAACAATGTTGAATAAACACATCTAGCTCTTTGATAAAAAAAATAAATAGTAACTACAGACTAATAGGTGTGATGAGCTATTTTGGAAACATTTTTGAGAAATGCCTAAAAGTACGACTGGTATCATTTTTCAAAATACTTTGCATGAGTGCCAATTTAAGTGATCCCATGTGTTGTTATATTGGAGGTACTGGAATGTTTAGACACAAACACGAAACGCATCTCTGTTCTCCTGTTAACCACGCTAGACTTATTAGTACTCTAGAACGCCCTGGGATACGTGGCTTGGTGTTAGACGTCTTCCGGAGCTATTTGACAGATAGAATGGTGATGCACTTAGTAATCAAGAAACTATTAAAATAAGCGTCCTCCAGTGAACAGTCCTTGGACAATACTCTTTTTGCTGTATACCAATTCATTGCTATCTCTTATTTCTGACGTAAAAATTGTTGCGTATGTAGACGATACAGTGGTAACATTTAAGAGTGCAACATGGGAGGAAACCAAATTAGCTGTGCAAATGGATATAGGAAAAATTAAAAATTGGCTAAACTTTAACTATTTGTTGAACATTGATAAAACACACCATCTTGCCTATACTATATCAGATGCTAACAAACCTGAGTGGTTCTCCTTGGATCTGGTTAGTAAGATGAGGTTAAAGAATAGATTTCATAATACAAAAAACCTATCTGCAGAGCATCTTTTGGAGTTCAAGACCTTGAGACTCGCCTTATTAAAAAACAAACAGACTCTGAATATTCTGCATATATTGCGATAATTGAACAAAATGCTAATATTGAGTACCCAAAGGTTCCTACAAATTGGACTTTCCTAAGATAACTAAACCTATTGTAAAGGACAGCATAAAAAAAATAAAGCCCAAAAAGAGTGTCGGTACTGATAATATTCCCCCGAGTATTCCCCCCTATATTTATAAGGGATGTGTGGATGTCTTGCCACTTGCTCATCTGTTCAATTCTTGTATCGAAAAAGTCCAGATAAGCTTAAGGAAACAGTGGTTATTCCACTGCATAAAAAGGACAATGTTTGTGATTTAGAAAACTATAGGCCAATATGTATCTTGAATTCCTTGTCAAAGATCTTTGAGACAATATTGTGTGGTTTTATTTCTGAATATGTAGGTATGGACATTGTGTAGAAACTGGTTAATTTTAGTTTTTCTGGATGCTCTTATAAATTAATAAGAACTCACCTATCTGCGAGGTCATGTGCTGTTCAAGTAGGAATGGAGCTTTCAGAGAGCTATATAGCTACTTCTGGAGTTCCACAGGGAAGTAATATTTCACCATTGCATTTCTCAATGTTTATTAATGACCTACCAGATTGCTTAAGCAGAGTGTCTATTGTTCGCGGACGACTTCAGGATTTTTAGAACGATAACCACTGTTTTAGATTGCATGAAACTACAAAATGATCTTGACAAAAGTGTTTTCATGGTTTACAAAAAATAAGATGTCTTTAAATATCGACAAATGCCCTAATATAAAATTTTCTAAACGCCAAAACTTAATTCAATATGATTATGGCATAGCCAGTTAACTTACATTTTGTAAATAGCTCACCTTTCATAAACCAACAAGATATAAAACAAAACTTATCAAATATGTAATAGAGGAATCATAACTATACAGGGTGTTCCGAAATTAATACACCAAATTGTTATGGCATATTTTACGTCGAAAATAAGCCCCAGTTACCTATATAAACATATGTCCGGAAACGCTTCCTTTCCGAGATACAGGGTGTTGAAATTCTAAGAAAAAAATTATTTTTCTATCATAATTTTCAAACCACTCTAGATATTTCATTGGAATTTTGTACATTGCTTTCAAGCTGCAAAAGACATTTTTTGATGTGAAATTATTTTTTTAAAAAATTACCAGCGGCGTCCTACCAGATTTGTAAGGAATATTTTTTAAGAAAAAAATGGTGCGTCACTGTTTTTTTCTAAAATAAAAATCATTTTTCAAATCCCCATTCACTTTAGAGCAAATTTGAATTCTTCACTTTTTTCCGAAAGATGCATTGCTTTAAAGTAAAAAAATAAAAAAACATTTTGATGCATGGCGAAATTGCCAAAATTATGATAAAAATGTTAAACATTAAAGAGCTAAAGTTTCAAATTAGTTTTGTGACGTCACTGGTAATTTTTTTATTAAATATTCCACATCAGAAAATGTCTTTGGTTGCTTGAAACCAGTGTACAAAATTTCAAACTGGTATGAATTATGATGAAAAAAATAGTTTTTTTTCTTAGAATTTCAACACACTGTATCTCGAAAAGGAAGCGTTTCCGGACATATGTTTATATAGGTAACTAGGGCTTATTTTCGACGTAGAATATGCCATAAAAATTTGGTGCATTAATTGCGCACACCCTGTATATTTCTAACACCAGTGACTCAGGGTGAAGTAGTAAATTTCACGCAGGATTTTAAAAACAAAAAGTCCTCAGGCGAAGATAACATACCCATTTTTCTACTTAAAAAGTGTATTCATACAATATCATCTCCAATTTCCTACCTAATTAACTTCTCTTTTGAGAGTGGGAAATTTCTACTAGATCTCAAAAAATCAACTATTGTCCCAGTATTTAAAAAAGGTGACAAAGAAGTTTTGTCAAACTATAGACCAATAAGTCTACAATCATCCTTATCAAAGTTATTTGAAAAAACCATGCATGATAGATTAATGAGTTTTCTGGTACAGTATAATACCACAGCTTAACCACTATTCAGCTCGATGGACTGGTGCGGTCTTTCTCGCGCTTGGGATAGGAGTCGCGGCCGGATTAAACGGATTTTTATTATTGAAGTTAAATATTTAGTTTCGACCTGACAGTACTGTAATGGGATATTTTTGTCATTTTTGAATTATTTTTCAATATGAGAATTTAAAATAATAATGGAACTACAAATATATATGCGTATGAGTACAGGGTGGCCTGTTTATTTTGTCCTATCTCGGTATATGGAAATCTAGATATTTTATGAAAAAAAGTTTTACACAAACGTTGTAGGGTTTAAATCATTAATTCGTTTATTTGCATGTTTCCCTTTGATCAAAGTCCAACTTTAAAATATTTATTTTTAACGTCTAACGTTTCTACAATAATCTAAAAATTGGCCATTCCCTGAAAATAACCGTAAATCAATCCAAAACCGTGCATAACAACCCTATCAAACTATATATATTTATATTTGTCTTTGAAAGCGCTATTAGAAAATATAGAAATCTACAGGGTGTTCTATTAAAAAAAATTAAATCTGATGTGTCACACTTTTTTGACTCCCCCTGTATAGGCGCAAATATAAAAAAACAAATTAATGATTTAAGCCCTACAACTTTTGTATTTAACTTTTTTTCCTAAAATATCTAGATTTCCATATACCGAGATAGGACAAAATAAACGGGCCACCCTGTACATATTCTAACTAATTGCTATTTATATTAAAAAATGAATATACAACTGAATATTTTCCAAAATTTTCTACATCAAATGATTTCTTTCTATCTGGGGGGCTTTAATTGAAATTGATGCAACTTTGCATACACGCATATGACGTCATTCGCAATTGAAAATTGGTGCACGGCTTAGTTGACATGCATTTTTTCAATCGCAACTGACGTTATCTGCGTAATATTTGCGCAAAGTTGCATCAATTTCAAATAAAGCCCCCCTGAACCTACCAGCAAACATGCATCATTTTTAGGTAGGCTAAGTCCTATGAGATGCAATAAGACAAGGTACTTAATGCGCCCTTTCAATTAGGTACCGTGATGGGGTACCCTTAGATTGGTGTACCTCTGCTGGAAATGAGTTCAAATTTCAAAGGAAGGACTAATATGTACATATATTATTTGTTGGATTTATCAAAATAATAGACAGAACATTAAAAATCTGCAAATTTTACGGAAATGGTCAAAATATACGGAATTTGCAGTAAAATGCAACTTAAATTATATCCGCTCTTTATGGTCAAAGTGTACTCAGACTCAGTACACTTTGACTTTAACCATTTTTCTCTGAATAAGCGTGATATTCTATGGCATTTTGAATAGTTGTTGATGACCTCAATAGAGCAGTAAAGCCAACCAATATCGCAAAGGAATTTAATAAAACCACAAAGGTGAGAATAAGGGTAAATAATAAAATTACGTTGTTTTGAGTTTCTCCAAAATCTAGTCTGAAAAGGCTGAAAGCTCAACGTCACGTATCTTTAATTAGTCATTGCCCGAACCCAATATATTTTTATAATAATCTTTATATAATAATAATAATAATAATCTTTATTCAGGTTTAAATATTTTTTACAATACATTTTTTTTTCTTTCACAATGCATGTATTTTGTATTTATAAATTATTTTGTTGGCACCTAGAGGTTTAATACCTCTGTATGCACCAAGTAAATTCTTAACTATTTATAATATAGTAATAAACACAACCTGTTCTTACAATAAAGGTTTATCTTAGAGGACATTATATTTTGTATGGGTTTGTTAAAGTACAATATTATTTGTTTATGGCAACTTAATCCTATTTTTTTTTTATCCTATGACATAAGTTTACAAAATGATTCATAATTATCTACAATAAATACTTTGCTCTTCTCACTAAACATTTTTATTCTACCTATTTCTTTGATTTTCTTTGGTATCATATTATAAAATTTTGGCGCTAAGTAATTAGCAAATTTTAAATTTATTGTTTTTCTATTTTGAGGTATTATTAGGTGTCTATTAACATTAGCTCTGGTTTGATGATGATGGTGTACGAATTTTTTTAGGGTTTCTTTTCTATGTATATATGTACAAATGGAGTGTATGTATAAGCAGTTTATGTTGCAAATGTTGTTATCATATAGTGATTTAGTTGAGTAGCGCCTTTCTTTTCTGAACATTATTTTTAAGATGGAATTTTGTATTACATTTAGAGGTTGCTTTTATATGTTCCCCCCCACACAATAAGGCCATATCGCAACAATGATTCTACCAGAGATTTGTACACCAATATGATCATTCTAGTACTGAGAAATTCTCTTAGAATATAAAATTTATGAATCAAGAAGCGACATTTCTTTGTTAGGTAAGATATATGGTCTACCCATTTTAAATGCTGATCAACAACTATACCTAAATATTTAGCTTACTTCACTGCTGATATATGACTGTTCTTCTCCTTGCTTGTCTGAATTTCAATAAAATTAGGTCTATTTGCGCCTGTCACAGAAAAGGCTATGTAATTAGTTTTGGATAAATTGAGCGACAATTTGAATGAGTCAAGCCACTTTTTGACGATGCCAAAACCTCTCGACACTCTCTCTTTTGTCTCCTCCCATGTCTTACCAGTAAAGATAATAACCGTATCGTCAGCATAGGATATTAACTTACCATTTATGTTCAATTTTAGTAAGTCATTGATGTAGGTAATGAAAAGAATGGGTCCTAAGATGGTGCCTTGTGGGATACCAATTTTTATTTTCAAGGGGTGACTCAGTGTTTGATTTAGCTTCAGAAATTGATCTCTTTCGGAGAGATAGTTTTTAAACAGTTCCAATACCATGCCTCGAACACCATAATGTGATAAAACATCAAGGAGTTTTTGATGAGGCACGGTATCAAACGCCTTCGCAAGGTCCATGAACACCGCTATGACCTTTTTACTCTCATCGAGATTGCTTGTTATTTCTGAGACCAGGGAATACATAGCATCTGCCGTACTTAGTCCCTCCGAAAAACCATACTGATTTGGGGACAGTACATTATTGCAATTAAAAAATGTTACAAGTCTGTCTTTTAAAATGTTTATTTAATGTAAAAATTTTGTATGTTACACCAAGAGCTCAAATTGGCGTTAATAACTTTCTTACTACTTTTTTTTATCGCAATGGTACATTATATGTACAATATACAAATAAAAGAAAGCGCATGCATGATTTTTGTTTCACTCATTTTACTATCGAAAGTATTAAATAAAACGTTAGAAAACCAAACAATCAAAAATATCAATGCACGACTATGGTTGTCGAATGAATAAAAATTACACTGATCACCCTACCGCACGCCCCAGCAGTCTTCTATCCCATGGGGCGGGGCAAATGCGTTGCGCGAGGAGATCGGCGCAAACTGTGCCGGCGACGAGAGTTGTGGAGCTGAATAGTGGTTAAGCTGTGATAATACTCTGCATCCCTTCCAACATAGGTTTCTAAAGGTTTGGTCTGTTGACACTGCTATATAGGACTTTATTGAACCAGTGTTAGACGCTTTGGAGGCTGGTCAGGAAGTCTATGGGCTTTTTCTTGACCTCTCCAAGGCGTTCGACAGTTTAAATCATGAACTTTTGTTAACAAAAATGTGTAATTATGGCATAAGGGGCCAACCTCACCAGTGGATACAATCCTATTTGACGGATAGGACCCAGGTAGTAAAAGTTAAAAGAGAGGGGGAAGAACAAATTTCAAAAACACAAATAAGCAATTTGGGTATACCACAGGGAAGCATTCTGGGCACATTGTTATTTGTAATATTTTTAAATGATATGCCTTTAAATATTGATGTCTATGATTGTAATATTGTGAATTATGCTGATGATACGAATGTAGTTCTACACTCAAAGTCTATGGAAGATCTGCATGAGTCATGTGAACACCATTTTAAGTGTTTGGATCGAGGTTTGGATAATTGGTTTATTGAATATAGGCTGGGATTAAATGCTCAAAAGACACAATGTGTGTTTTTCAAAACAAATAGAAATAAAAGAAATATGACTGATAGTATAAAGTTATAAAACAACTACATTCCTGTAAGCAATAGTTGTAAGTTGTTGGGAGTAAGCCTCGGAGTAAGCATTGATTCATGTCTAAATTTTCAAAATCATATTGAATCTCTACTTAAAAGGCTTTCTTCATCATGTTATGCATTGAGGGTTTTGTCCGAGGTTTTGGCTCAACATTCAAACTTTGATACATTAAAAACTGCCTACTATGGAATATTCTACTATCTTATCTATCTATCTTAAATATGGTATAATTTTTTGGGGAATGCTATTTTCAAAAACCAAAAAATGGCCCTTAGGTTAATAAACAAAGCTCAACCACTAAGCAGTTGCCGCGGTCTCTTCAAATCTGCAAATCTTCTCACACTGCCTGCAGTTTTAATATTTGAGAGAATTTTATTTGTAAAAATAAACCGAGCAAGAAACTCCCATTTTTGATAGTTCCCTAGTCAGCCATAGTTATAGTACTCGTGGAGTAAATGTCTTGTATAATATAATATGGCAGTATCTATTGTTGTAGTTATTTGTTCCAAAATAAAAGAAATTATCTGTCTATCTATCTATCTATACTCATCCATGCCCTGAACACAGATACTATTATACTCTGGTTTGTTAGCATCTGATAGAGTATAGGCAAGATAGTGTGTTTTATCAACGTTTAGCGACAAATAGTTGAAGTTTAGCCAATTTTTAATTTTTTACATGTCAATTTGAATAGCCAATTTAGTCGCATGACTTTGTTTTGTAACTTTTGAATCCTATCTTTTCCGTTTTTGTTCATCATGTAGAGCACCGATGATGCGTATGCAAGATGTGGTAGAATAATAGTATTATACACCATGATGCGAGTCCACTTTGATAGAAAAGGTGCTACTCTAGTCAGGACACCTGTGTTTTTTGCTATTTTGTTAATATTATTGTCAACCCTACATGGGACCACGGGCTATAACCAAATTCAATACACTGAACCACAGGTTAAATAATTGCAACTAAGCAAGAAAACACAACCAGAATAATTAACCTAATTTTAGTCAGCAAATGATATAAAAGCCATTGCCACTTGCCACACTATGGCAAATCAGTCGTCTCTCAGCGCTTTTCTGTATCAGTAACATTAAATATATTATATTTATCTAGTGTCGAGCTACGTAGTGGAGCAACGGAGGTTTCGTGACAATATAATTACTTAATGTGTTCCTTAAATTAAAAAAAAAAAAAAATTGAAGCCTTTTGTCAATCATAACACCCAAATACTTGATCTCTTCAACCATCTCAATATTTTCACTTCCAATGGCAATTTTCGAGGCAATTTTAAATGGAGTTACCATGCTATATTGCTGATTATTAGCAATAACAATGCGGATTATTCTGTTGTAACAGATATACCTACTTCAAATTTATTTAAATTATACATTGTTTGGAAGAGCATCAAATCCTCCATCAAACTGCACCTAAATTGATTTTGGTAGCTCATACAGTTTCTGAGATATTGAGCTTCAAAGGTGAGGTTTTCAATTAGATTAGTGTAATGATGAAAAACAAACTATTGGAAAGTGAATCAAAATACACCTACTTTTAGAACAAAACTAGTTTTCAGTATACCGATGTAGTTCACAGTCCATTTAAATTCTAGGTCCCCAATGTTGTGGAAATAATAATATAAAACAAGAAAATTTGGACTTACTTTTAAGCATTTCTCGTTCCTTTTCAGTGCGGGACGGTGGTTTATCCATTGAGTTCATTATAGACCCTAATAAATCCATTATTTTCAATTTCTAAACAGTCTAAACAAACACCAAAACAAATGATATTTTAAATAAATAGTTAATTAATTAAAAATGGATGGACAAATAAACTACAAAGTTTTGTGATTGTTTTGACAAGTTCTTGACATTTGACATATAAAAAAAAAAGGAAAAGTACCGGGAGGCGTTCGAAAACACGATTAGTTCTGCCCTAGGTCTACTTGTTGGTTGATCTTTTAATTCAATAGTTGAACTGGTGCGGAGCGAGTGCAATCAATATTCGTCAATCCTTTTTCAGTGCAGCTTTCTAGATCGATTCGGATATTGGTGCAGCATTTTTTTGTCCTAGTGCAACTAATTTAACTAATCCTGTTCCCAAACAAAAATATTTTCTTCAATTTTCATTTTATATTCCAACCAATAGCAAACAACTAGAACTCGGAACAGGAAAGCTGCACTCTTTGGAGACCTATTTACAATGAATTGAAATCTAGTTCTGTTCGGAGTAGATCTAGCAAATACAAATGAAAAGGCTCAGGAACACACCCGTTTGTCAAAAGTTGTCAGCTGATTTATTTGGTCAGCTGATTAGTCTTGTGAGTTTTTAAGGCAAGTGCACAATCCTTTCTCATCAACTAAATTCATCTTTTTGTGGCCCCATAACATTAATTTCCAGTCGATATGTCTGCGAGTGATAGATTACCGATATTTCCTTCCAGAGGGTAAGTAAAAATTATGTTTTTCACTTTGAGAATACCTTCTCATTTAAATTGGAGTACCTCTACCTTTGAGCCCACTGAAACCCTTAAATTTGTATTAAAAACTACTATGAGTATCTTCAACTATATCTTGATCATTTCCATATTATCAGATTATGATTATACACCTTGTTCTCTTTTTTTTTTTCTCCCCATTTCAATATATTTTTTTTTTAATTCAGACTATTTCCTTGCCTTGACTGCGCAATTTTCCTATTACAAAAATATATAGTTTGTCTATGTTTGGTTGGGCAGTCTATATATTTGGCTCTAAAAAGTCTAAAGATACTATCCTGCTGACTTAGATTTTGTGAACCATCCTACCTGTAAAGGTGAAAGCTGCTAGTAAAATTTCAGGTAGGACATAAGGCTAGGACTCTGTAATGGATAGAGATCGTTATCCCTATCGCTATGGCACTTGTTATCTTCTTCTCTCTTCTCAAAATCAATAGAGAGGGGACGTCAATAAAGATAGAGAAAATATCTCTATGTATTTGTAAAATGTTTAGAGCCAAATATGTTGGAGACGGCACAACCAAATACAGATAAACTATATATTTCTGGAATTGGAAAATTGTGCTTTTCAAGAATATATAGAACCAAATATAGGGCATTCCATTTGAAAAAAGTTGAAAGTACAGAAAATTTCAAATTTCTGACGATGGATTTTAAAAATTTGGACAAAGCTGCAAGCAGCACAACTTTTGTATTTACACCTATTCCCTACAAATAAAGGTGAAGGCTGCCGGCGGGGCGTCAAATTATATCTAGACACCCTGTACATTACACATTAGGAACTAATAAATATCTGATAAAAATAAAAATTATTGTTAGGGTAGAGTAAAGAAGAAAAATGAAAAAAAAGTATTTGTGATGACTAATGACTACCTAATAATTAATGGCTTAAGAAGTAGTTTTTCTATCATCAATTTTTACCATTTTCAGAGCTCAAATGTTGATGAAAATCAGGCTAAAGGGTGCTCAGACCGGCCACAGTCTATTAAAAAAGAAGGCCGATGCTCTACAAATGAGATTCCGTATGATTTTGGGAAAAATCATTGAGGTAAGCCATTTTATATAACTCTAAAATGTTAATAAACCTTGATTTGTTCTAGACCAAAACCTTGATGGGCGAAGTAATGAAAGAAGCCGCATTCTCCTTGGCCGAAGCCAAATTCACAACTGGCGACTTTAATCAAGTCGTTTTGCAAAACGTCACAAAGGCGCAAATCAAAATCAGAACCAAAAAAGACAATGTTGCTGGTGTTACTCTTCCAGTTTTTGAGTGCTACCAAGATGGTACTGATACGCACGAATTGACTGGTCTGTCCAGGGGTGGTCAAGCGGTATCTAAATTGAAGAAAAACTATCAAAATGCTGTAAAGCTTTTGGTTGAATTGGCTTCATTGCAAACTTCGTTTGTTACTTTGGATGAAGTGATTAAAATCACCAATAGAAGAGTAAACGCTATTGAGCATGGTAAGTTTTGAATTTTTAATTTTGCATATAAGATTCAATTTTTTGTTTCTTTTTGTCAAGTAATCATTCCAAAAATCGAAGCCACTCTGCAGTACATCATTTCCGAATTGGACGAGGTTGAAAGAGAAGAATTTTACCGTCTAAAGAAAATCCAAGACAAAAAGAAGATTTTCAGAGCAAAAGCAGAAAAGATCAAGGCCGAACTTAAGGCTAAAGGACTGCTTGAGGAGGAAGCTCAAGCATCTGCTAATATTTTGGAAGAGAGGGATGAGGATATTCTTTTTTAAATGTTTACTTATTTGGTGGAAAATAAATAAAATTGTTTGAAGGGCTGCAATTAAGTCTAAAATAAGCCTCTTAAACATACATAATACTAACTTGCATAAAATATATCATTCCAAATCCATTACATTTGAATTTGACTATTGTTTTCAAATTCAGAGTTTTTTTGCTGAAGGAGTCATCCATTTTTTTTAGCAGTTTCAAACCTAAATATTATTAGGTTCAATTTTAAAAGTCTGTGTCAGGGCAGGCAGTATCAAGTAATTTAATTTCATCCTCATTTAGGAACCTTTGCTCTTATGCAGAAAAATATATTGTATTATACCTATCTTAAAAAATATTTGGATTTTTTAGTGTTGTCATTAAGTATTGTTAATATAATTATTTTGAAATAGTATTAAACTTTGTTTCATCAAAGTAAACCATTTATGTTTAAAAACTTGCATCTGTATTTTTATGTTTTATTTTGTTGGTCAATAAATTTATACAAATAAATATACCTATGTTATCAAAACTTAGTTGGTCTCAATAATTTGTGTCTTTATAACTACTCTAAGTCACAAAGTTATATACAGAAATCTTCGCAGTAAATCAAAAGTTCTTGATCCAAATTTAAGGCACAAATATACTGTAGCATGTATCATAAATTCACTTTTTCTTTTTCTTACAAAATTTGGAAGCCAAGAAAAATATCTAAATGAAATGAACATCATAAACACAAGTTTGACTTAAAAATGTTCAAAATTGAAAGTTGTAAGTATAAATACCTACCTGCATAGTTATTATCATGGTCAGAAATGAGCTTTCTGCTTTCTAGCTGTGTTTGGCTCAATTTCAAAAATCTGAAATTAGAGTTTACCTTCCTAATTCAGCTCTAGGAGAAGCAGTTAAAATTCTTGAGCTTCATCCATCAAATTTCTCTAACAAGTTCAGAAATGAGTTTCTTACACTGCTCTGACTCAAATTTAACTAAACAAGGTCAAAAATCAGATTTCTAGGTCAATTTTGGATCTTGAGTTGAGAATGAGTTTATTAGGCTTCTCTAGGTAAATTTTGGCTCAACCAACCATGGTCAGGAATTAGATTTCTAGGTGGGTTTAACTCAATTTTAATGGTGAGAAATAAGAGTTTGCCTCTCTCGTTCAATTTCAGCTCTAGGAGGAGGCACTTATAAAATTCTTAAATTTCCGATATCAAATTTCAGTTTCAACAGTTTCAGAAATGACATTTTCATTCAGCTCTGAGTCAAATTTAACTCAACATTCAGAGCTTTATACTTCTCTAGCGAAACGGGGCAGTAACTAACTACCAAGTAGTTTAGTTACTTTTTTGGTAGCTAATAATTTATTTAAGCTACTTTAAAAAAAAAAGCAGCTGGTAGCTGTAGCTTTTGGTAATAGACCATGAGATAGGGCCTGTTTAGTGGAGTCATTTTTTTTTTGTCTGGCATTTTGAGGGTTGAATGTAGCTAGTAAGCTGATGAGAATATAGGTGGTTTTAATGCCTGCCACCTGTTCGAAATGTCCACAGAATGTTTCGCCGGAAAACTCGACTTCGAACTGGGATTACCGTCTGGCGATTTTTCAGCGATATTTTCACAACAAAACCTTCCATTCTCTCGATTAACAGACAAAAAGTAAACAAAAGGTTCTTTCCTTTTCTCTTGGAAGTTGACACTCATCCCCACTTTTTCAGCTATTGGAAAGCATCTGGTATTTTTTATGGGTGATTTATTTATCAATGTCAATCTTTTATTTAGAAGCCAAAAAATTTGAGATCATTAAAAAAAAAATCCTCATGTAAATTTTTTTCTTCTGAAAATTTTCGAACGAGAGGCAGGTATTAAAAACACCCATATTCTCATCAGCTTATAGTAGCCACATTCAGCCCTCAAAATGCCAGACAAAAAAAAATGACTCCACTACGACACAGCCTCTATCTCACAGTCTATAATGTATTCCATGTATTCATTCATAAGCTACTTTTGAAAAGTAGATAGCTACTAAAACAAGCTACTAAGGCTACTTTTGGTAGTTGAAGTTACTTTTATTGCTCAAGCTACAATTATTATTTTTCCGGAAAAATCTTATCCTGCCTTGTTTAGTAGACAGTAGACTAGTTTCAACTTGTCCCTATGTCCTGTTTTATTCTCGCATTCGCAGATCACTTTCAATATGTAGTTAAGTTAGCAATAGGTACCTTAGCTATTTTTTTATGGAGGTACCTAGTTAAGTTACCAATAACTTATCTAATTTTTTTAAAAAGGTAGTTCAGTTACTAAGTAATTTAACTACTTACAATATAAACTAGCTTGTAACTTGCTAGCTAATTTTTTTACAATACAGATAAAATCGAAAAACAACAAAACTACCATCCAAACATCTTCAAAGGGACAACAAAAACAAAATATGAACATCGTTTGGCATGATAAGGTTAAAAAAATAAAAAAAATATTGCAATTAAAATTATAAAAACTGATTAACACTTAGTTCTTGATTAAAATACCTAAAAACATTTACATTTAATTAGGTAACGGCCCAATTAAGGACCGATTGAGAAGTGTTTTATCTCTGCAAGACCATCCGTGGACGCGTTTCGCTGTATCACAGCTCATCAGCACGGTTTAGGTCCCGCAGAGAGAAAACACAACCCATTTTTGGTTCCATCCCGGAACTGGGTTTAATACAAGTAAAATGAAGACAGGGTCTCCATCTATTTTCTGATCGGCACACTAAAAATTGCTACTAACAACCGTATAAACCAGTATTAAATTAGAGCAAATCGACTCGCAAAGGCATTCGCCACAATTGCGAGAATAGCTATTCTAGTTGCCAACCAGAAGTAAAGTCGGTTGGTACCGAAAAACATTGATATTAATTAGGTAACGGCCCAATTAAGGACCGATTGAGAAGTGTTTTATCTCTGCAAGACCATCCGTGGACGCGTTTCGCTGTATCACAGCTCATCAGCACGGTTTAGGTCCCGCAGAGAGAAAACACAACCCATTTTTGGTTCCATCCCGGAACTGGGTTTAATACAAGTAAAATGAAGACAGGGTCTCCATCTATTTTCTGATCGGCACACTAAAAATTGCTACTAACAACCGTATAAACCAGTATTAAATTAGAGCAAATCGACTCGCAAAGGCATTCGCCACAATTGCGAGAATAGCTATTCTAGTTGCCAACCAGAAGTAAAGTCGGTTGGTACCGAAAAACATTGATATTAATTAGGTAACGGCCCAATTAAGGACCGATTGTATTAAACCCAGTTCCGGGATGGAACCAAAAATGGGTTGTGTTTTCTCTCTGCGGGACCTAAACCGTGCTGATGAGCTGTGATACAGCGAAACGCGTCCACGGATGGTCTTGCAGAGATAAAACACTTCTCAATCGGTCCTTAATTGGGCCGTTACCTAATTAATATCAATGTTTTTCGGTACCAACCGACTTTACTTCTGGTTGGCAACTAGAATAGCTATTCTCGCAATTGTGGCGAATGCCTTTGCGAGTCGATTTGCTCAAATTTAATACTGGTTTATACGGTTGTTAGTAGCAATTTTTAGTGTGGCGATCAGAAAATAGATGGAGACCCTGTCTTCATTTTACTTACATTTACATTTGTTACATACAGAAATAATTTAAAATAAAAAAAAAAAAAACAAAACTTAAAATGGAAATAAATAAAATTTAAGGCGCAAATCAGACTCAAGGAACAATGAGTGTGTGTCTTTCTGGCAGACAGTAAAATTTTAAATCAATCAAATCATGATCATAGAGATATTCATTTATAGAGTAGTAAGCCCTATTATCAGTCAACCAATCCTTTACTTTTCTTCTAAATTTTTTAAAATTATCAACAGATTTAAATTCTGGTGGTAGCTTGTTATAGATTTTTACACTTTTATAAATAACTGAGTTTTGTGTAAGGCTGGAATTAGGAATAGGAAGGGGAATATCATTGTGATTTCTGGTTTGATAAAAATGAGTATAAGTGACATCTTTATATTTTTTTAAAATTAAGCTCACAGTTTCCAACATGAACAATCCAGACAATGTCAAAATCCTCTCTTTTTTGAAGAGGGGCTTTTTTGCATTATAAAAACAGATTCGAATAAATTTTGGCAACAATTTCCCCAGAAAACTACAACATAGCGCAGATGCGATTCGACTAAGGCGTAATATGTTGTTTTAGTTTTAGCCATTTGTGTACCTACCCAATAGGAATGTTCAACTATTTTTCAATTGTAATAAAAAGTGATGGTTCTAGGTCCACAAAACACGTATTTAGCGTTAAAAAATCTAGGAACTCTCTATTTTTTCTGATAAATCGAAAACAAAAAACGAAATTCGCGAGGCTAGCAAAACGACCCCCTGTGGCGAGAGTAGCGTTTGTGACGTCACTGTGCGGAACGATCAATTAGCTGGCGCGTTGGCGATATTTGTTTATAAGTTCACATTGATTGTATTGCTGACAGTTGCTTTATCCACTTATTCTAATTATCTGTATTTGTGTGATGATGGGAGACTCAAACAAAGTTAAACCAAGTCGAAAAAAGTGGTACCTAACGTATTTTCCTACGAGGTACGAAAATGTGATACCGTAGAATGGGGTGAATAGGATCACTTTTATACTTTGAAGTGGTGCCTCTCCCAAAGTAATAGAGTGAAAATTCTGATGTACATATCAAAACATCAGTCTATACCTGGGCTATCCATTTTTAAGTTCCAATATTTTTTATGCCGACTTGTTGTCCATATATATATTTTTTTTTGGCTGATCCTATTCACCTGCCATTGTGGTGAATAGGATCGGCAATGATCTTATTATGCCTTATCGTATTCACCTTCTTGTGGGGTGTATAGGATTGCAGAAATTTTATATGTGAACTCTACAGATTCTTTTTTTTTTTTTGTTTTTCACTCAAAAACAGGGATCAAACGCATTTTTTTATTGATACAAGTACATGTTAACAGGTATATGTATTATCTAACAGCAAAATCTATTTAAATTGTTTATTATATTCACATAAACGAATTTCAAATCTCATAAGACCTCTTCCATATTTTGCCGGAGGATTCAGTTTTCCAGCAATTTGTTGGAAAGTGAACTCGTACTCGTCTTTCACATCTGGAAAAGTGTAAACATATCCTGAATAGTCTCTTGTAGTTTTTTCGCGTAAGAAGCTTCCTTCGTACCCGTCCTTGTTTATTTTTACAACTTGAGCTATATAATATTTGTTAAAGGCCTTGGATGTACTTGGTACTTTGTCATTGGAGAAATAAGGTAAGTTTATGAGTAACCAGTCACCAATATCAATGTCATCCTTGGTGACGGGCAAGAGACCATGTGAGATTGCTGGTTGGGGTGAACTATTCGAAATGTGAGGGTCAGCAGATGGCAGAACAATGTCTTCTTCTTCAGCACCATCAGAATTTCCATCAATTTCCTCCTCAAACTCGGACATGGGATCCATATCTGAATTTG